TTTTATTTCTTTTAATCAGACAATAGTTTGAAAATAAAAAAATTTAATGACTTATTGGTAGGGTGCTAACGGCTAATGACACCCTATTTCAAGTCCTTTCTGTGAATCTCTTGTCCAACTTTTTGGAGTGAATATGCTCCAAGAAAATGTACAGTAAGCAAAATCCATTTTTCACAAAGATCACATACAGATTTGTGTCAAGAAGGTAAGCTTGAAAAATCAAGTGTTTATGCATATTAATAAAAAGCAGAGGACCAGGACAAAGTACATAATAGAACTACTTTACAAGGAAAAATGGCAGTGCATCTCCATAGATATTTAGATATCTCCATAGCTACTTTTAAGCATTATATACCCAATTTAGTAGCTAACAGAATCCACATAACTCCTATTTGCAAGACGCCTTCTGAAAAGCTTTGTAATAAGGCGTGACTCAATCTTCAGGCAACTGGGGGCAAAAAACACAATCAATGCCAAAATATGTTTTTGTTAGCAAATGCATTTGTTGGGTTTATTTCTGACATATTCTTGAAACCTCAAAAATGCACCACACTCATTTTGCAACTGACTCATTGTGCACCAGTTTTCAACCTTTTCTCTTGTGTTTTTTTCTCTCTCTCTTTTTTTTTTTTAAATTACAGTTCAGTTATGTCCTTCACCCCACCCACAAATTAAGGGTTTATTATGGAAATTCTGACAAAGCCTTTGCTATAGTGGTGCTTGCAGGCACACTCACGATAAATATTTTACTATTTAATGACTCCTGATGTAATCGCGGCTGGAGTCATATTCACTAACATCAATCTTCCTGTTGTTATTCAGGAGGAAGAAGATGATAGAGAAAGATCATGCTTGTCTGGGGCTGTCTTTTTAGCTCCCAACTTTAAAATGAGTGTTTAAATTGGTAAAAAGTTTACCACCACAATCTGACCCCTAAGTATGTTTATGTTGGATGATACTTTTGTTCTGGCTTGCATTACTCAGATGAATAAAGCTCAGAAGGGCTCTGCTTTACTGCCCTGTTTTCTCTTAGTGTTTCTGTATTTTTTAAATGCGACCAAATGGTTGCTTTTGGCTCCCAGCATTATCACATGTTGCCTATAAGTATGGAAATAGTTATGGTAATATGGACGTAAATCATAACTGTAAATACCACATAAAGACTGCCATATAATTATAAAAATACCTAATAGATTTATTTTTCAAAGACAACACAGCTGTCCCTTCTAACCTTTCATTTGTAGATTCTTTTCTCTCATGTTTTTATTTATAGGTTGCTGTGCAGTTTGACATAGCATACCACAATTTTTGTTTTTAATTTTGAAAAGAAAAGAGAAGGAAAGAATACTCATTTAATCATAAAGAAGCATTAGTTTACAATTTTAAAAAGAAACTAATGCCAGCTCTAGAACATCATCTTGGAACCAATCTCCCTCTTAATACATTTCAAAAGAATCTGTCAATGGCTGCATACCACAATTTAAAATTAAACCCTGCCATCGAATTAAAGAAAGGGTCGGCCAAATGGCACATGTCACGTGTTGGAAAAGAAGCCCCATTCTTGTTCTAAATATCTCAGTGTTTTTATTAAAAGAACCACAATAGGCTATTATGCTGCCCACAGCAAAATATTTTTTTTTATCCTACTTAGAGAAAAACAGGTTGGAAAGTGCTATGGATAAACTTGCACTTATGCAATATGCCATGCTAATGAAAATATTAAAACTTTTTGCAGCACTGAAGTTGCCAAGAGAAGTTTTACATATTGTCTGGAAACCGTCACCATGCGTTTCATCCTTTTCCAATCAGCTTGGGAACGATTAAATGCAAAGTGATACAAGTGTATGTCTCCCCTCCTCTATGCCAGACTCACACTTGTTTTGTTGCACATTGACATTTTCTTACCTACTTACTGCTGTCTTAAACTCACATACAAAGCCCTGAGACACACAAAAAAGAGGCTGCAGGCAGCACTACTTGCGCAAAATGAATAGGAAGCTGCTGTCTTCGAGTCTTTGAAACATTTTTGTCTCAAAGCAACCCCTTGAGAAATTTGCATCTATGCCTTCTGCATGGCAAACCCCACATTTTAACCAAATGGCAGGAGATATTTCAAGGGAAGGAAGTTCATTTTAACCATCAGAAATGTACAGTTCTCTATCTCTCACTATCTCAGAAAATATACAAAAATATAAGAATATGGGTGTATGCAGGACAATGCACAGTTCTCAGTGAGTGAATTATGTTCTGATTCCCTTTTTAGCTATGCAAACAGAAACTAGAAAATGTAAGAGGGTGGACTAGAAGCATACTAACTGCTTATTGTTACACATTTTTTTTTTTGCAGATGAAACATTTGAATCTTTGCCGCATTTTTATCAGTCTGCACCAACTGGCCTTTGTCCAAAAATGTGTCATTTTATCAGATGTGTCACTTGGCTGGGAGGCTGCCATGACTGTACTGGGTGACTGGATGTTAAAATAATTTCTCCAGGGGAATGAAGCTGATCCCAAAGATTTTCTAATTCCAAGGGAGATATTGTTTTTCACCACCAGCTGGGGCCTGATGTCAGACATGCCCTTGCTTCATTTATTCTGCTCAGAGGTTGAAACACGGCTTGTCCTTCCTGACTCCAATATTGTTTCACGTTTGGGCACATAGCAGCTACTGCACAGTGAACTGTTAAAGCAGGAGAGCTCTTGACACATGGGAAAATGGTTTAGGGGAAGCAGTTTGACAGCAGGATGTGGTCATTTCTATTGTCCTATTAAAATAGGAATATCTGGGAAGCTTAACTTTGTTTTCACTATGTAAACATGTATATCTTATGTGCCAAAAAAATGCAAATACACACACATGCACATACAAACCTCGCACACACCTAATTTTTGTCCTCCCAGTACAGTGTCTGCTTTCTTGACAGAACTAAGTCCTCTGCACTTAAAAGAAGATTGATTTGTACTGAAAGAACAAATACTCTGGGTTCTGTGTAAATCGGACACTAGTGTTTTATTTTACATTTGAAATCAAATTGGAAAACAAGGAAGCTGCAGTGACTAAACATCTTTAATAATGCTATCTCATGAAAATATCTCAATGTATTCTTATTCCCTTCTATTTGTTTTCTCCAGAACAATGAGTGTAGTGACAGAAATCACAAGATCCCATACAATATGCATCTAGTTAAAGTAGTACAGCTTAATTCTTCAAGCAGAATAGCGGCGAAGCCCTACCTGCTCAGATGCTTGAAACTGAGCTTGCAACAACTATATTTAGTTTATGCTTAAATGACACTAAAAGGACTATACCATTTTTTTTAACTTGACTGATGATTGTTCCAAGAACATGGAAATCCATACTACAGACTGGTTACCACAAGTCTACAACATGATAAATCCGAATGGTGTTATTTCATCATCTCTAAGCATTTACATTTAGGCAGCATCAATGAATATGATAGATTTTTAGAATTAGCTAGAGTATGATTTTCTAACAGGTTTAAGTTGTAAAGGCAGAGCAGTTATCTGCAATTTATTGAATTGAAGTAGCTGTTAGCATTTATTGAATACACAGTCATCTCCTGTACTATTTCTTCTCTTACACCAAAATACTTTTGCAGTGCCCAAGTTAAGGGTTTCAAATTGAAAGTAATCAAATAAACACCATGGCCCTAAAGCTGGACCAGTGCCAGACACACTAATAACTTTCTGACCTCCCTTCTTCATAAATATGGAGCAGTTAGGAGACCATGAACAACTGCTTCAGAGAAGCAATAAGGATTTACAATCCTAGTAATATTTCCCACACAAAGTAATCAAAATTATCACAGATAATTTAATTGCAAAACTTTCAAAACTGTATTGTGGGTTTCTCTATATAGATCTTATAAAGACATTCAAGTGAAACAGTGGTGTGACTTCAGAAAATGCACAGAGGTTAGATAGCAATATCCCTTTTAAAATGAATGAAGACACTTTCACTTCAAATGAGAGTGTTCACACAAGGGACCAATGAGCTTTAATAGTTAACTCACATTAATATATATATGAAGATGGTTCCTTGACACTGTCCAAGAAAGCTAAAAGTTAAAGAAGTTGTATTTCTTGAAATCGCACTCTTCAGTATTTCCAATGTTGGCACAACAAAGATCAGTAGATACTAGGGGAGGGAGGAAGGAATTTATTTATTCTCTTTCTCTGTTTTTCAAGATGCACAATTCTTAAAAATAATGAAAGGCTTCTTTCTGTCCTCCCTTCACCAGGAAGGAGAGAAAATAAAACTTGCATGATTAATTTGAGCAGAGGTGCCACTTTCCTAGGGCTAGGCATGCCTTCAAGAGAGCTGAGCAAAAAAACTGCTAGAAAGACAGAATCCTTCTTTAAAGCAAACTTTTGTTATCACTTGAGTGGGCAAAACTCTTGAGGATGTTTGTAATATGCCTAAAACAATAGGGCCTCCCTGCACTTTGGCCTTTCGCTATACATCTATGCAACTCTAATTAAAAACAAAGATGAACGAATTTTTGGAGAGAAGAAAGTGGGGGTGGGGGGAAGGGCAGAACTGATGCAGAGATAACTATGCAGGAACAAATATGCAGTAAGGGCTAGGGAACCTCAAGATTATTAACTGTAATGTGAGTTGTTGCTGCTTGTGAAGACTCTTGATAACAGCCTTTTTGTTTAATTCTCTGATCCTGGTATGACAAACACCTGGTCAGTCCATGGTATTTATCTACAAGACATGTGTGACTTGGCCTTAACATGAAAGTTGTTCTTTATTTTTTTAAATTGAGAACCAAATCTGTATGGCAGGTAAATGGTTAATGCTGAACAACATGTACGTGATACTTCAGCAACAACCTTACAAAAATTAAGATATTATTCTTTATTACGGTGCCCTGTAATTCAAAAGTAAATCATGCCAAGATACTATCTTGCAGGTCTGTAGATCAGATATCATTACCTAGAAAAAAAGAAAAAAAAAGCTTTTATGCACTTACCTTATCCTCTAGTCGGATCAGTCTGGCTCCTACAGTATAGTATCCTTTGTCTACCCCTTTTTCTAAATTAAAAAGAAAAACTTAATTAGATGGAAAATTAACTCAAACTAAGAATTATATCTAGCCCTACTTAAAGAAGAGTTGGTAAAATATTATAGCAGTGTATATAACATCAACATAACAAGAGGAAAAATCTTCATTGAACTCAGGAGTGGAAGAGAGTAGTGGGCAAGGAGGGATTTAATTTGTCTACCTCACATGCTTACACTAAGAGTCTAAACTTGGACTTAGAAGGAGGCAGTCCATGGACACAAATGACTAGAAAGAGTGTCCTGGGTGATTTTATTCCTTGTTTAATTATCTCAATTAGCTGCATTGAGATAATTGAGATAATTGAGACAGTTGCTTTAAGTGGAAGAGAACCCCCTTTTTTGGAATATCACCATATTCACATGATATGTGAAATGCACACTATCTATCAAGCATAACATATACATATAAAATAATTATGCCTTCACGATGGCCCTGCAGACAAGCCACACTGGGAAGAGCCTTTACTTCTCAATCCTGATGTCACCTTCCAGCTTTTATGACACCTGCTTATTTAAATTCAATTATGCAATTTGTTTTACTCACCCTCTGTGAATTGTGGGATTGGGACCCAGGAAAGAGAGTGGGACAAGTCTGGATTTATTCTTTGTGTTTACTTATCTTATTGCAAATTACTACCATGATCTATGGGTGTTCTTCTGCAGAAAATGAGTCAAAATAATACGTGTATTCTGAGAAGGAAGAAAAGGTTCATGGGAAAAAGTATAACAAATACCTACGTGACTTAGAAGCTTGTTTCAATGGTACTTGGATGTGCTTCTAACTACTATTTATTTTTTCAATAACAGGATGGATTAATTGCTTCTTGTTTTTTTTCTCATAAATTATTCCGGGTTAATGAGTGCCTGAGCTTTTTTTAAAAGCTATTTGAGTCCATTTTGTACAGGCCATGAGTGCAACATGAAGAAGGGCTTATGGGAAAGCAGGTTGATATGTGAATTTACAGTGTATTAGCTTCCACAGTAACTGCCCATATGCATGTTCATTCACAATGAACTCAGATTTTTGCATTGCACTGTGGATGTTGCTTGCTTTACAGTAAGGAAGGTATACTACACGACACAAAAATAGTATATACTTTTACTAATGAGGCATTTCTGGTGACACATTTGCACCAATGTTCATCTGGAGATAACCCAGATTATATGCACCTGACCATAAAGGAAGAATCTAGTTTGAAGCAATGCTGGCAGAGCACGCTTTTTCCTTTTTATTCCTCTTCCCCTATAGGCCATCTAGAAAGCTAAAAGAGTTATGTCCTTTGCCAGCTCCTTTTTTTGAAAGCAGAAATGTTCTATCAAAGCATCTGGAGAAATAAATTCCATAAAGACAGACAATTTGAAGATTGTTCAAGGACACTGTGTGGGGACAGAAAATAAATGACACAGCTTGGCTCGTGCATGTGTGCTGCTCATCATTCATTAGTTCATAAACTCAGAAACTCTTAACATATGAAGGGCTAAGTCTTGAATTTATCTTTGCTTTTGTCTCTGCCTAAAAGGAAATAATTGACTCTGCAATCTACTCTGTAGTTCATAAATCTGCAGAAACTTCATCTTTATTGTAAGAACAATCATGCATATTTTTGTGTTTAAGGATTTCTAACCTGGGATGTGATTTGCAGAGAAATGAGGAGGCAGTGTTTCTGTTTCGGTCTAAAACAACTTCCCCCTTCTGCCCCCCCCCCGCCCCCCCCCCCCCCCCAAAAAAAAGAAAAATAGAGTCAGAATTTACTAAACACCTTCTTTTTGAATAAGTCACCCACTCTAATAACATCCTCTATATATTCACCCAGAAATCTGAAAGCAAACAAACAAAATTAATAATGCTTTTTACTATTCTAAGTAAATTAAATATTAATTTACTGTTACTCTTTGCTGTTCTAGGATGAGACATGAAGCAGAAAACAGGACAGCAGAAAGCAGAGAAGAATTAAAAAGCTGTATTGTGCTATGTGGCAGAGGACATGAAAAGCATAATGTACATTACTGTTGGTGTGTATGCATTACTGTTGCATTACTGTTGCAACTTTACTGCATGCTGTATAATTCACAAAAGGCTGTCCTGTTTCCTACTTCTAAGCCTCCATTTAGATAAGCATTTAGCTCTAATTTAACAGCATTTTTTTCTAATAAAGAATGTCTTCAATGAACAGGCTTTATATTTGCTGTGCCGAGTGTTGTGGTAATGAGGGTGGGCAGAAGTTCATAGATCATTGCTCTTATACATTTTATGTCTATCTTGAGTTTACACCTTCTTTTTGAGTCTTTTCAAGATACTGTATACTAGACTTCCTACACTGGCTTATTTGGTTTTAGATATTTGAAAAGATTGAATGGCTTACTATAAATTTGAAATGTCATTTTTTTTTGATTCTTTGCTTTGAAAAAATAAGGATTTTTTAGTACTGTTTTTTGTTTGTTCTTTGTGTTGGTCTGCATTAAGACAGACTGACTGACTAAGCAATCTTATAAGGATGTAGAAACACAAGGAAGCATTCATGATCACTGTAAGAGAAGCTATATTTAGCAATAACAGAATGAAAAAACATATAGACAAATTTTGGCTGAGCAGGAAAACAACATCCTGAAACCAGCATGTATCACATAATTGCTAAGATATAAAACTTTCATTTTGTATATTTAGATTTGAACTAGCTAATAGACTAGAATATTTAAAAATGGGTATTATATTTAATGAGACTGAACAGTTTTAATTCCTCTAGTCTTCACTAATATATACATATTTTCCCCTGAAGGCCTATACCTTCCAGCATATACATACTATATTACTTTATAAAAAGCATTACACTGTACTTGTTTCCTAATATATTCACAAAGATGAGACATATCTTTTCTAGTGATCATAATGAGATGACTCTTGTCCAAAATCTTAAAACTAAACAATCACCACATGAGTTGAGAATACAAGAAAGGTCATCAGAAACCATTTCCCCAAATAGAAGCACATGGAATAAATGACATATTGCTGGTTACTCAGTTTTGTTATCTTTTATGAAAGAATAGCAATTGTAATCTGAAAGGCGTTCAAGCGCAAATTAAATGAAGGACAGTACTATATATATGTATGTATATATCTCCATATATATATATATATTTACTGAATTACTGTGTTCCATCTCATCAGAATATATCAAACTTTTGAGAAAACTGACTTTTTCCTTGGTTAGAAAAAAATACTTATGGGGAACATTAAGACAGTGAATGAATTGTTGCCAGATGGTCTGACAATGACAAAAGCTAGAAAAAACAATCTGCTCTGCTTTTACAGAGCAAGATACTATCCTCAACTTTTGATCTTATGATGTATACAGCTAGAGATATGCTAAGTCAAGATGTTTTAAAATCTATTTTAAATCTCTCTGTTTACATTGGAAAATGAAGAATTTGAGCTTTGTGACCCTAGGAAATTCCAGGTTTCTAAAGGAATCTCAAAATCTCAGGAAATTATACGAAGTACAAGACTGGGACTCCAGAAAGTGGGATGGGGTAAAAGATACCACTACCTTTCTGCGTTTATCTTGATGTAAATGAAACCTCCTGGACCTGAATTTGTACTGATTGTGTAAAATTCTATGTAGTCAAGACTGTGGTGAGCTTATAGCAAAAATCTAGTCTTTTGTGTTTATAAAGTAGGTACTCGTCTTCAAACATGTCAGGATTGTCTTTTTAAAGCTAGAGCCCATAAAATAGCAAATAATAATGTTGCCTTAGGTAACATGACTTTCAATTGAGTCTCTTTTCTTGTCAGACATAGCCCGTTACAAATGACAGACAGAGGGGATTAAAAAGATCCTTAAATATACTTAAATCCTGTATCAAGCTTTTTTGAATTCTCTTGAGAAGTCTTAAAAAAAAAAGGATAAAGATTAAACCTCCAAAGTACTTTTAGGTTAGAAGGCTGAGCTGAAATACAGAAAATGTGTGATAAACTTTTCCATGATGAAGTTTCTTCAGTATACAGTCAAAGTATGAATTTAATTTTTTTTTCAAGTTGCAAAATTCTCTTTGCCATCACAATGAGTAACTTTCCAAATTAAAGAGGTAGAATCTCTTTTGATAAACCAATCCTAAACAGGAGGTCATGCTGCCCATCTGTTTCATTCATCCAACATTTGAGATGACACATTTTTACTCACACAGAGGAATGAGGAATAATATAAACAACTTGCTAAGGAGAAACTGTAAATAATGAATCCTCATCTCATTTCTACAGCATTTAGTCACAGAAGCAGGTAGTACTTATAAAATAACTAATACAGCAAATGCAATGTAAAATAAAAGTTTATTTAGTAGCATCTTCTCAAGAACGAAATTCACTGCTGTGAGGAAGACACAAACAAGTGGTATGTTATTAAATTAAGTAGTAAATCAAAATTTTAGTAGGTTCCAGGGCCTCAAAGTGGAA